TGATGTGCTATAAGGATGGAGAATTTATTGGACACCTTTTCTTTAACTGTATTGTTTCTACAAGTCTTTGGCAATTCTTCCTCGATTCAGCAGCTAGGGGCAGGCTTAACTGGACTCCTCCAAACTCTGTTATAGAGTTTATCAACTCTTGGCAAGGTCTAAAGTTGACTTCGGACAAGAGAGGAAACTGTTTCTGGAAAGGAATTGTACATGTCGTCTTCTGGAATATCTGGGAGGAAAGAAATAGGAGATTATTTGATGAGTTACTCCTCCTTGGAGACTCTTAGAGATCGTATCCTAGCTAACATTAGCAGCTGGATGGTGAATAGTAAAGTGTTTGAGGGTATCAATTGGACAGCCCTTCTGTCAACCTCTCCTTTTCATCCTCAGCCTCCCCTGAAAATCACCCCAAGACAAGATTGTGAGCTCATTCTGAATTTTGATGGCATCTTTAGGAAGTCTGCAGAGAACAGCCCAAATACTGGAATAGGAGGTTTGATCCGAAGAGTGAATGGAGATGTGACTTGGGCCTTTAGTGGCCTTGCAAAGGCGGTTGATGCGTCTGAAGCAGAGGCTAGGGCCCTCCTGGAAGGCCTCAGAATTGCCAAATCTCATCAGTTCTGTTTCATTGCAGTTGAAGGAGATTTGAGGAATGTTATAAGCTGGGCTTCAGGACAGGCTTTGCACCCATGGAAACTATCTCATTTGCTGTTAGAAATCAGGGAGCTGGCCTCTTACTTACAATGCAGCTTTAGATGGATTCCTAGAAAATTAAACCATGTGGCTGATAATCTAGATAAATCTGGGATGGGAAGGGATTTTCTGTATAGTGATCATACTTTGCCAATGTAGTGGGCTTTGTCTTTTGTTTTTTTGTTGAAACGGCTTTGTACATCTCCTCATGTACATCCCTCCCTCTTTTTTGATCTTAATGAAATCTGTTATCTTTTCTCATAAAAAAAAATGATGCTGTATATGTACTTCCAGCAGTGGTATTCTGTGTGGATTGGAGAAATTAACCTCCTTAAGTACTGGGTTGTAGTACACTTTCTTTTTTGTGACAGTCCTACTCTATCTACAGCGGTTTTTATGGCTGATTAAGTGTGACATGAAATATTTATCATGTCTTCTAAAGACTCTGCTAGATGGACTCAATTACCTATGGTTTTTGTGGCTGGTTAAGTGGGGGATTAGACATTAACTTCCCTATGGTTGTTATTCCCCTAGATGGACTCAATTACCTAGAGTGGGCTGAAGGGGATCAAACCTTATATCACTGCAAGGGGAAACATAGGGTATGCCAAATGGGAAGATTAAGGAACCAAACTCTGGGAGTGCTGAGTATGACAAGTGGAACCAGGAAAACAACATGGTGATGTCATGGCTTCTAGGGTCTATGCTGCCTCAAGTGAGAAGAAACTTTATGTGGGATGATACAACTTATGAGATCTGGGAAAAAGCTAGCTCTACCTATTCTGAACAGCGACATTATGCAGAGATTTATCACTTGCAACCAGAATCTTCTACTTGTAAGCATGGGGAGAGAAGTCTTTTAGTATACTACTCAGATTTGAACTCAATTTGGAAGGAGTTGGACCATTATCAGGTTGTGGACTGAAGGTGTGATAAGGATGCTAAAGCTTAAAGTCTCTTGTCTCTCAGCAATGAGTGTTTTCCTTTCTTTTAGGATTGAACCCTGTGCATGAGTCCATTAGGGTGCAGATCCTAGGAAGTAAAGATCTCCCATTTAGTCCAAGAGCTATATACCCTAGTACAATTGAAGAGTAGGAGAAATGTGATGAATAGCTTTGAGGGGGAGTCAATTGCTTTGGTGGCCAAGTGGGGTATAAATGCAAATGGTAGGAGTTCTTTAAGAAAGGTGATTTCCAGAACAAGTAAATGACAATGTTAAATTATGGTGCACTCATTGCCAAATATCTAGCACACTTGTGATACATGCTGGGACCTTCATGGGAAGCTGAAGTGGGCTCAAGAGTTAAGTAAGAAATCAGCATCAGATCAAAATAAGAAACTAGGCCAATAAGGTCAAAGGAAGTACTATTTAGCGAACATGGCTTCTTAGGAGACATGGACCTCTACCACTATTGTGAATTAGGAATGTTCTCCTTGTTTTGATCCCAAGGAAGATATCATTAATTCCATCTATGTTCGCTTTGAACTGTATGGTAGGGCACTCCATTAGATGGATGGATTCTGCCCCTCCCCCCTCGATTTCCTTTGTTTCTACATCAGGTAACTTTGCCGCAACTTTCCATGTGTCTTCTCATTCTTTAGACTCTCCTTGGATAATTGATTGTGGAGCCTCAAGCCACATGACTGGTAAGTCCAATTGGTTTTAGTTTTATCATCTTCTTTCTGGTAGGGGCAATGTGAGACTAGTTGATAGCTTGTTCTCCATCATAGCTGGTCAAGGAAGCATCTCCCTCCCCTTTGGCCTTACTCTTTCTAATGTATTGCATGTTCCCAAATTGCCTATAAATTTGTTTTTGTTAGTAGTATTACCAATTTGTTAAATTGTTTAGTAACCTTCCTTGCTTCTTAGAAGTAGTATGGTTGATGGTCTCTATGTGTTGGAGAATAAGGCTAGTCTTGTGGTCACAGAGCCTATGGTTCATCTTAGTAAGAGTCAAGCCTATTTATGGCATATTTGTCTTGGTCATTTATCTTTTGAGTTGTTGAAAATTTTGTTTCTAGAATTGTTTAAGTTAGTGTTAGTGTTTGAATTTGCTTGCCAAACTTGTTAGTTGAGCAAACATTGGAGAAATCATTTTTCTTCAAGAAATAATAATTCTGAATTTCCTTTCCATATTATTTATTCTGATGTTTGGGGCTTTGTTACTTTGCCTTCTGAGACTCGTTACAAGTACTTTATTACACATTGATTATTACTCCGGATATACAAGGGTGTATCCAATGCATGATATTCACCCAATTTCATATTGAAATTAGTGTTTTTAAAACTGGACCAGACCGGCTGGTTGGCCCGATTGAATTATGACCCAAGACCTTGGCCGGTTCAGTCATACCCCAATAATAAAAAACTAGTGAAAACTGATGATTGACCGGTTTAACCAGAAAACCGGTGAACCGGTCCTGGTTTCATGAAATCACTAGAGTTCTTAACTAATAGAAATTTTACAATGTGCTTGGCAAGATTCGAACCCATGACTTCTTATTTTCATATATTGCTTAATTACCATTAGTCCACCTCTTTACTTGTGTTAATTAAAGAAAATGTAAATTAAGAGACTTGAACCCTAATCATTTGCTTTAAAAATTAAGACTTGCCATTAATACACCATATGCAAGTATCTTAAAAGTTGTAAAATATCTTATATATAATATTTATATGATCTTTAGTATTTATATGTATATGCCACGTCATCATGGTTTGACCTCTAGTTCGACCCTGGTTGAACCTTTAACCCATGAACTTCTCCCCTCTTTGGTTCTATGCCCGGTGCGGTTCTTTGAACATTGATTGAAATCCAAGTTTTCTAGTCTGCCAAAGAATATTTTCATAGTGACATCATGGAGTTTTTTTTCTGTGTGGATCTCTTTACCATAGTTCTTGTGCTAAAAGACTCAAACAAAATGGTGTTGTAGAAAGAAAAAACTGCCATCTCCTTGAAGTTGCTTGTGGATTGTTATTGCATATGCATGTTCTAAAACGTTTCTGGTTGGATGCTATTTTACGTGCTGCATATTTCATTAACTATATGCCATCTCGGTTGTTAGAGTACAAGGCCCACATAAACTCCTCTTTCCCAAAGATCCTTTGTTTTCTTTTCCTATACGTGTGTTTGTTCATCGTTTCGTTCAAGACTTGTCTCCCACTTGTGGGTGTTTACAATGAAGCACATGGCTGATGGCTCAGATTTATAGTATAGAGTTGATTATGCAGAGACATTTGGCCTGATTACCAGGATGAATTCTATTAGAGTCCACATTAATTGCTAACCTTAATAGGGACCTTCACTAGTTGGGTATCAAAAATGCCTTCTTTGAACGATGATCTTGAAAAAGAGGTGTACATGGTACAATTTCCTAATTTTCGTGCCCAAGGCAGTGAGCAAAAAGTGTGCAAGTTGAAGATGTCCTTGTATGGCCTAAAACAATCTCCAAGGGCTTGATTTAGTAGGTTTCATTTAGTTGTGCATCAAATAGGCTACAACTTACAAGTAGTGCCAGTTTGATCATACATTATTTGTGGAAAGAGGGGAAGGTAATATTGCATCCCTGATAGTATATGTTAATGATATAGTAGTCACTGTTTATTGGAAACCTGAAATTCAGAAGTTGTAGGAGTTCCTAGCCACTCAGTTTGAAGTGAATGATCTAGGTCCCTTATGGTATTTCCTTGGAATTGAAGTTTCCTGCTCACATAAGGGGATTTTCATTTCATAGAGGAAATACATCCTAGATCTATTATAGGATTCAGGAAAGATAGGAGTGAAACTAGTTGACTCTCCCATTGATCTAAATCACAGGTTAGGTGACTGCCATGGCGAGACTGTTAAAGATGTGAAGCAATTCAAAAGGCTTGTGGGTAGGCTCTTATGTTTGTCCTTGACCCAACTTGACATTGCTTCAGCTATGGGTGTTCTTATTTCAGTTCATGCATGCCCCTAAGACCACTCACTTAGAGGTAGCTGAGAGGTTCCTCAGGTATCTTAAGAGTTTCCAGGGGCTGGTTTGTTGTCCTAGAAGCATGGACATTTGAAGGTTGAAGTGTATACGGATGCTGACTGGGTTGGATCAGTTGATGACAGAAAATTCACTAGAGGGCTTTGGCTTTTGGCAGGGAGTTAGTTTTTTGTATTAAGGGTTGGAAAGGAAAAGGTGGGTGTTAGTGTTTGGGTTTTGGTTTTCTTTTTTTTCCTGCTTGCAGGTGATAGCTTGTCACCTTTTTGTAATCTCTTCTATTTTAATAAAATTTCTTTTTTATTTATTACCAAAAAATATCATTTTCTTGTTAGGTTATAAGATTATCAGCTGCAACTCAGGATCTCCCAAGATCCATCATCTGCAATGTCCATGGTGTCAACCCTGTGTTCCTTGAAGTAGGCAAGAAAAAGCAAAAAGAACAGCAAAATGGACAGCAAGCTTTTACTAAGGGTGCATACTACATTGGAAAGATGGTGTGGAGCAAAGGCTATATGGAGCTACTTCAACTGCTAACTGCATATCAGAATGAACTGACTGAATTTCAAATTGATTTGTATGGAAATGGAGAGGACTTTGATCAGGTTCAGGAAGCTGCTGGAAAATTGAAGTTAACAGTTAATGTCCACCCAGGACGTGACCATGCTGACCCTTTATTTCAAGAGTAAGTTTTCATATTTGACTTCCTTCTGGATAATTGTTATTTTATTTTATTTTTGATAGTAAAATAAAAGGGAAGCTTACTATTAGATGACAATGAAAGAAAATTGTAGGGGCCATTAGGCCCATTACTTGGTGTAATGGTAAAATCTTGGGCTGGCAAGCATGAGAATGCAAGTTTGAGTCTGAGAGCAGCCACTTTGTGCAAAAAATGCCAAAAGTTAGGACTCAATGGCCTTTTTATTACAATAAAAGAAAATTGTATAAAGATATATTGACCCAAAGTTGTGTAAAGAAAAAACTTATCAATTTCAATATGGAGATGCACTTTGTTGACTGCTCATCTATCCTGCAATGAGAATTTCTAATATTGATAGCCAATATGATTTCCCTTCAACTAGGTTTATCTTGGGCTATGTAAAGATATTTTCACCATGTAATAGTGTAAAGGTAAACTTCATCTACTTCAATATAGAGATAATAGTATGTTGATTGCTGCAATGTTAGCTTACAGGTTATAGCTAGCCTCACCTGCAGCAGGGGTTTCAGGAGCAGTGATTGAATTATCTTGTCAAGAGAATCTTTGATCTTTGATTTTGAAAGCAAAGGTGCCAGCTGGATTTGCTACCCCGTACTCTGGGTGTATAGCTTATTTATCTAGTTAAAGAAAAAATATCTGATATTGAAAGCCAATAAGAAAATTCCAACTTATGGAGATTCTCTTTTTGGAACTTACCTTGGCATGTTCATGCTTCCAACTTTCAAGTATTGAGGTGCCCAATGCCAACCTCTAAAAATCATTCTTGTTGTGAATAAGGTGAGAGAAGAGAAAACCTTAGGTTTAACAAATCACATAGCAAATCTTGTCTCTCTCTGATGAGGGAAACTCTTTAGACCTACCCAAAATTATAAGAAAACCCCAATGAATCTGAAATTACATCAAGTCCCTGACTATATATTTTCTTCCTAGAATAATCGTATTCCTCAGACAAACTGAATACTCCAATACTCCTTTCTAAGCTTGCCTGAAAAGAAATAATGTGGCCTTTGTGGCTTTGCTTCAAAGCTTTTCTTGAACTAGGCAACTTGCAGATCCTAGTGTGATTGATTACACTACAAAGCAACTATCTCTTGCACTACACCCACAGGGATTCAATCAACTTGCTTGCACTTATGGTGGTAATTTCTGCTCTTATCCCTGGTAAGATAAGTCTTACAATTGATTAGATGGTACTCATGGTGGCTCATTGCTCTTACCCAAGAAATGATCAATCACTGAACCCACCTCTTGGCAAATTTTCTAACAATAATGGCATACTAATAACATAACAAAGACTCAACGACAAATATAACTGCATGAGGAACATTTCAGTAGAGATTTCAACATATCAAATACCCCAGTGCCACACAAAACAACTAAAAGATAAATAAAAGTAAAAATAAAAATAAAAATAAACGGCCCTTAGATATGACAAAGACTCCCCTTTAATCAAAACTTGTTGCATTTAAGAATTCCGTTGTGCAAGGCATAATTGATCTTGGTGTTGATAACAGTAGGAAATTCAGCAGCGTGCATCAACAAGGATCTTTAAGCAAAACAAATGTGCTCATAATCAAAGAATTGAAAAAAAAATCAAATTTGATGTTTATCCAACCTGGACATTTGACCTCTTCCTTCCCTTGTAGTACATGAAACAAAAGTGTGCTCCACAGTAGCTTCTTCCCAAAAATGCTGAACAATAAATCTCTATAGCCTTTGTTTGTTGGGAAAATATTCAAGAATCCTTTCTTGAGCACCAACTTCCCCAATAATCATCTAAAGTGAGGTCCTTCAAGAACAAAATAATGTTTCTAACAATTATCAAATAGACAAGGAACATACACCCCAAAGCACCACAATGTCAACCTCAAAACAATTTGGTACTACCAAAATAGAGGGAGAAGAGGTAGTAAGTGACGAAACAATGCCAAAGTGTCACCTAGAAATCCATCTCCAATTATCACAATCAAGATTCATCATCATCCAAGCCTTATCCCAACCATATGGGATTGGCTACATGAACTCTGTTTTGCCAGTCTGTTCTGTTTAATGCCATATCCATTGTTAAATTATTGGTGCTTAAATCATTTCTTACTACTTCTACCCATGTCCTTTTTGGTCTACCCCTTTTCTTTGTAGTCTCTTCAACTTGTAACAATTCAATTCTTATGGATGCTGTTAATGGTTTTTTATGCACATGATCAAACCATCTTTGTCTACTTTCTCTCATTTTATCACCTATTGGAGCTAATCCCAAGTTCCTACATGTGACTTCATTTCTATCCTATCCTTTCTAGTTTTTCCATTCGTCCATCTCAATATAACATTTCTGTCGCACTCATTTTTTGGACGTGTTTCTCGACTGCTCAACAATCTGCTCCATACAACATAGCTGGCCTTACAACTGATTTATAGAATTTCTTTTTAATCTAAGTGGTATTTTCTTATCACATAAATTCTAGATGCACCCCACCATTTTGCCCATCCTGATCTAATTCTACGGGAAATATTCTCCTCAATCTCTCCCTTGTTATAGAACAAAACCTGTTGAAGATGTGGAAGGAAGAGGAGAGGACTCAGATGCTTGTCGTCAAGAGAGATAGATGGGAGTAGCCAGGGTAACCCAGGTCCCTCTGGGATGGGAGGTGTACTGAGGAATGAGGCTGGAGAGGTTGTCTTACTCTAATCTGGCCCTTTAGGTGTTGGAAACTCTATCCAGGCAGAACTATTAGCTGAAATACAAGGAATACTTCTTGCAAAAGAAGTGGGCGTGGAGCAGCTTCTGATTGAAGGAGACTCTAAGACAGTGGTGGACTGGTTAAATAACCCGGAGGATGTCACTTGGGGCTACAAAAATGAGCTAAAGAAATTCAAATGGCTGACATGAAATATGTCTATAACAGTACAATGGGTTGGGAGATCAGCTAATGCTTTTGCCGATGTCTTGGCAAAACAAGGGATAAATAGGGAAACATTGTTCTGGGCACAACTGTAACTCTTGTTTTAACATCAACATTCATGTATTCTCTGTTGTAGTTTGTGTATTTTCTGTTCGGAGAGGCTGCACCTCACGCCTCTAAGGGGATTTTCTTGTATCTAATCATTATTTTAATGGAAATGATTTTATTTATCAAAAAAAAAAAAGAGAGATAGGTGGTAATTGACAAAACACATGCTGTTCAGAGAGAGTGATTTGGAAGAGGTGATTAATATGGAGGTGGAGGCAAGTAAAATCTTAGGGCTATTCTTCATTGGTTGCAAGGAAAATGCAAGAAAAATTTTTAGAAAAATTGAAGAAAGTAGGGACCTTTCTTTGAAGTTGAAAGGGAGGGGTCTTGGAGGGGAAAGCAGCTCCAAATGATTGAGGTTTCCTTCTTTCCAAAAACTTCATAGAAACCCATCCAAGGTAGGCCACTCTAAACCATCCACCTCCAACCTATCAAACACTGGTCTTTCATAAATTGATTGGAAGTGTTCCACAAAATGGCTTGCTATCTCCTCTTGGTTTGTGACCTCTTCACCATCCTTTATTAATTTGGATATGAAGTTCTTTTTCCTTCTTCCATTAGCTACAACATGAAAGAATTTTGAATTTCCATCGCCCTCTTTTACCCATTTATGCTGTGATTTCATCTCCAAAAGGCCTCTTCCCTAAGAGTGTCATCCAGCTCATTCAATTTCCATATCATCTCTTTCTCCTCCTCACTTAGGGAGTATTATACTTCCTCATTATCTAGTTTTCAATTTGGGTGGTAACATCTTCTTTTCTCTGCTCAATTCTTCCAAAATGATCCCTTTAGGTGCCAATTTCCATATCATTTCTTTCGCCTCCTCACTTAGCTAGCTAGTATTTTATGCTGCTTAGTTGGGTCCCTACCAACAACATACCCAGGGATCCTTTTGGGTGCCAATTACAAGTCTAAAGCAAGCCACTGGGGGCACAATAATTGAGAGGTTCAGGCACAGACTTTCAAGTTGGAAAAGGAGATACCTGTTGAAAGGGGGCAAGCTTACACTGCCACAGTGTGATTTCCAGCTTGCCAACATATTTGCCCCTATTCTCTATGCTGGGCTCTGTAGCAAATGTTTCAGACAAATTGTGGAGGGATTTTTTGTGGGAGGGACCCATTGAAGAGAAGAAGCTCCATTTTATGGCATGGAGCACAACTTGTGATCCAAAAGAGAAGGGTGGAGTTGGGATTTGGATCCTGAAGCTTACAAATAAAGCTCTTTTATGCAAGTGGCTATGGAGATTCGGGGATGAAAGGGATCAATTATAGAGGCAAGTTATTGGGTGTAAATATGGTAGAACACTAGAACCCCAATGTAAAAGCGTTTGCATTGGTCTAGCTACTGTTGGTTGCTGGGCTACTCATCCATGTAAATATTTATTTTTCACTTTAATAAAAGTTTCCTGTTATCTATCAAAAATTAAAGGTAGAACCCCAATGGATTGGGGGAGCTGAAGCCTGAGTTTCAGAAGCATGTTAGAATGAAACCAGGTAATGGAGAGCACACTCTATTTTAGAAGGACATTTTGGTGTTCAGAGCAGCCAATGTGTGAGGATTTTCTCTCTATATGGCATGCTACCAATGGGGGGGGTACTCTCGAGGAACATGTTGAGCTGTGCAACTCTCAGCTCATCTAGTGTCCTACTTTTAGAAGAAATTTGAGTGATTGGGGAGTGGGTTTGCTTGACAAGTTATTAGGAAGACTGAATGTTGTCCATTGGAATGTCCATTATAGGGATTCCAGACTTTGGAAGTTGGAGAATTCTGGTCTCTTCTCCACCAAGTCTTTGTTATAAAGCTTTAATTGGTATTTCCCCTAAGATCTCATGGGCGTGGATATGGAGGGTGCAAGTCCCATTGAAGACAATCTTTTTCGTGTGGTCTGCTGGGTGGGAGAAGATCCAAAACCCATTGACAACTTGATGAGGGAATGGAGCTGGAGAATGTTTGTTGTCTGTGCAGAGAGGCGCCTGAATTAGTTAATCACTGCCCTGTATCTTACTTGATTTGATGCTACTTCAGTTCCACAGACAGTGGGTTTTTCCTTTTTTATGGCTGAGCTGCTCCAAGGTTGGAGAATGATGGGTGGTTTTCAACTAGAGGCAAAGCTGTTATGGAATTCACTACCCTTTGTCATCTTCTGAACCATTTGGAAGGAGAGGAACAACAGAATCTTTGAGGCTATGGTTTCCTTCCCGGAGTATTTCATCAGTAAAATTGGATGGACCTTAATGAGATGGGCTAAGGTTTTGCACTAGTTCTTGGGAGTTCAATCCAATTTCTTTAGGAATCAGTAGAGCTCCATTATTTTTTAAATATGCTGTAAATGTCATGTGGATATTATAGTCATACTTCTTGGTAAATTTTGAGGATTTCTCACCCTCTTTACAGTAATAGGATACTTTTTTACCACTTACCAAAAGAAAAAGAAAAAAAGAAAATCAAGCTTGGGACTTGGGTTTCTTGAAGGTTTTCTAACGATGATTTAAAGATACATTTCTCTCTAGAGAAAGTTTGTGAAGGTGGAGAATTGAAATTGAAAGAAGACTTGTATGGGATCAATTTATCTCCATATTTGATATTAAATGATATGATTTTTTTCCCAATTCTTTGATGGATATTGGTGTCAAATTTGAGAAAATTTCCAAGAGAAGACAAGAGGAAGAGAGAAAAAGAAAAATAATCTCTAAATTCATTAGTTATGTTTTTGCAACTTTAGACATATATGCATAAGATATGTTTGATCAGTCAAACTCTATAACCAAGAAAACTCAATTTTCGGACTTTGTTGTTTATATTTCAAGATAAGAAAAAACACCTCTAATCTACTTAACCAATGATTGAAATTTTAAAGAAATTAAGTAATGACTATACAAATCAGACTACTATAGTTGAACCCACAAAATTTTATAAAATAACCAAAATACCCTTACTATTCCAAAAAACAAAAAATGTAAATTTCTGGCTTCTAAATTACTGGATTCCATCACCAAAAGCGAATTCCTATATAATGTAAGATTTTCTTGTGGAAATGTATCGAAAATGATATAATATTTCTATCATCATATTTATTGTAATTATTGTTGTTGTTGTTGTGCAAGAAACTTCTTAAATTACATTCTTCCTTACTGATGTTAGAATGGATTTGACTTTCTCCTTTACTATTTATTCAGGTACAAAGTATTCCTAAATCCAAGCACAACTGATGTGGTGTGTACGACCACAGCTGAAGCACTAGCCATGGGTAAGATTGTTGTTTGTGCAGACCATGTATCAAATGAATTCTTCAAGCAATTCCCAAATTGTCACACTTACGGTGATGGTGAGGGATTTGTAAAAGCTATTCACAAATCACTGGATGAAGAGCCAGCTATGATGAATGATGACCAGAGATGTGAACTGTCATGGGAGGCTGCCACAAAACGCTTTGTGAAGGTTGCTGAACTTGATCATGCCTCTGAAAGAAAATCAGCAGAATCTCCAAGAAAACGATATATGTCGGTGTCACTAAATTTGACGAGGAGCATTGAGGATACCTCTGCATATGTCCATTATGCAGTTTCTGGGATTGAAGCGGCGCGAAGAGCATTTGGCGCAATTCCAGGGAGCTTACACCCAGATGAGGAGCAATGTAAGGAGCTTGGGTTAGCTTGCCCTGCAGGGAAGCATGGCCAAAAACAATGATCCATCACACATTTATTGTAAAGCCTACTGTTCATTGAAGAATCTTGGAGAACTTTGGTTATCAATCTCTCATGAAATATACTTTATTGATGTTAAAAATCTAAAATGCAGTGTCAAATATAAGCATGTTTTCCACTTGTTTTCTCAATGATGTTCCATGGTAGTAGTGTTTGTATGTCTGGTTGTTCAATGCACATTTCTGTAATTGCGTGTATAGTATTCAAAGTTGTTCAGTAGGACTTGTCCCCTGCTATGTATTGTAATTTTATTTATCGTGGAAATGTTTTTTCTTTTACCAAAAAAGGAAATATTTTTTTCTTTAATTCCATTGTATTCTTCTTTTTCTGTAATTGATTATTATTAAAGTTCAGTTGTTTTTGTTTTATGAAAACATGTGGAGGAAATCCAGCCATCAACCAAGCAAACCATATTACCTGGACAAAGCATGGCCCTTTGAAAACTATGAACCATGAATACGAATCAAGAGAACTGACAAATTAGGTGATTATCCATCTCAGCCTCATAACTTAGCATCTAGGCATGTGCATATGTTATTTCTGTTCCTCTTGTTTGAGTTTCATGAATTTGGATATATCCTCTTATTCGTATCACAGAGATTTAGGGGGTGTTTTCCAATGTGAATTGTTAAGAGTTAAAAAATAAAAAAAGATAAAAAACATCTATTTTGAAATCAAATCGGTTTTCAAAATAAAGACACGGGAAAAACATGTTCTTGTTCAGAAGTGCACGAGCTTTTTGTTCCAATCATGGTGTATTCGACATTGGTTCACTTTTCACAAAATGTACTAAGGTGTCATTTCACATTTAACAAAATGCAAACCAAAGATGTCTTTGATTCACATCTTTAGCTGCACGGTGTAGCAGATGCACCATGGATTTTTCCAAACATGTATTCTTGAATTTCTAGTTTGAAAAACCTGTTTTCATGTGATTATCTGTCTTCATGTTTCATCATAATTGTGGAAGCCTTATCCAAATAGGTCATCTATCACAACTATAAGAGTTGGGTAAAAGTGTCAAGGCCCATTTGGGAGGTGATGAAGGGAAATTTGGCCCGACCTCGCGATCGCCCGACACGTGGCAAAGGCAAGCAGCTCGGGACAGTAGAGCACCCAAAGCGAACATCGGAAGCAAGTCCAAACTCACTACCGAGCCCAAACTCCAGACCGCTGTACTTAGTCCGAGCTCCTTG